CCTACCCTACGTCACAACACACAATGATTTTTCAAGTCACAAAGTGTGTCAATCTTCCTAGATTACCACACTCTCCTATCTCAAAACCCAAACATTATCGTTACGTCATCATTGCCAGTTGCAAGGAGTAGCCCAAATGATGATGCGATTTTAATGTTTCCTCAAGAGACTCCGTTGTTGAAACAGCGGCATTGGTTTCTGACTATCCGTCTATTGATCATATACGTGACTCATCGATGCAGGGACACCTCCCTTATGCCAACCCGCAACTTGTTAACTGTACGTGGGCATTTGTAAGACGTCCTCTGTCTATTCTCATTTCGTAGGTCCAAAGTACAATTGTTATCGACAATACATTGCATTCCACTTCAATGATTCTGATGTTTTATTACGGTCAATTTGTTGTTTTCCTTTTTTTGTTTCCCATTCTTTGTCCGTTGTATTGATTTTCTCGTATCAACAAACACTTTTTAATAACTCTGGAATTCATGAACAGTTCCCTGTAAGGGAAATAATTATTGCCAGGTGGCATGGGAAAGAGAACAAATGGCATAATTCCTGGAGCATGAGATCACCTAGTGCAACTATAATTATATTATTCAATCATTATAATGTCAATGTCGAGGGAAGCCCTATAGTAATAATATTTTCACTCTGAGTCATAATTAATTTTGTCACTGGTTCCACATGGATGCTTCAGACTTGTTCGTATATATTACTAATCTGATTTATTTCTGAGAAAATGCCTTTTGTGGTTCTTGACCACATAAATAAAGATCTTCCGGATATCCCAATGATTCAACAGGCTTAACACGCTGCATATACATCTGCAGTGGTATATCCAGAAAAAAAGATAAACGGGGTGGGGGTGCTTCTCGGATCGGGGGGGGGGAGGAGGCGAAGTCCTTTTTGTAACAAGGGGTGGGCAGGGGCGGACTGGAATTAAACTGAAGAACCCTGTGTGCCATAAACCCAAATTGTATCGACTTTTTCTCCCTTGACATCAAACCGGGGCGGGGGGGGGGGGGGCGTACTCCCGCTCCCACATTTATTGGATATGCCACTGTTCTGTATTCATCTGCAAATACAGACAGAATTATTGTGACAGCGAAAGCTCACAACCTTGTAAATATGCCTGAGTCGTGATGAAAGGCTACCTATAGCACACACCTCAAATTGATGAATTTTACATTGGGGTCCATAGCAACCACAGTTGTCGCCCAAAACGCCACTGAAGATTGCGGGGGCGGGACCTTTTAAATTCCAACCACCGTTGTGCTATGGTGTGTGTGTTCTCTTGCTCTTCTCGCAGAAAGTTCTATTTTAATTATAGACTGCGGCTTTCAAATACACCCACTTTTGTTCCGTAATTGGTGTACTTGATGATCGGCTCATGGTGACTTTTATGGATTCGTTATTGAAAAGTTGTTCAATGACGACCGTTATTCTAAAGAAATTTTAACGAAGCCTTACAAATATAGTATTACTATTTGGGTTGGTTATCATGGTCATTACGGGAGTCATTAAGGGCTGCTAGATCAATTTTCTCCGAAACACAGAAGGATGACCAAAAATTACAAAAGAATGGCTAAATAAATATTTTGAACACAAAAAGAGTGGGGGCAGAAATGATAAGAAGAAATTGGAGGGGATAAAGCAATTTTGTCATGGTTCGAGAAGGATGGAACGATGGGAAAGTACATTTAACCTTCAGTTCACTCTTTTCAACCTTGTCATAAACTTAGGCAATATAAAAAATTCTTAACATTATTCCAACAACAAAATATGCATGGCCCCCTCCATCTAATCCACTCTTGACATTTTTGTTTGGGCCATCAATCCTAATCTTGATTTTTCTGGAACAAACACAATGAATCATGAGACACAATTGTTGAATGTGGCCTCACCACAATACATAAATTCATGGCTGTTTAGGAACAGACTTGCATGTATATCATGATCATCCATGTTTTGCATCGCTGTAGAGACCAGTCACCCCAAAGACACCGACGCTATACCGACATTAGACCGAGGAAACAATTACATAACCTTAAATGTTCCCAAATCGATTGGTTTGGAGTCGGGTTTCTAACCGGTTTTACAGTGACTGAAATATTACCCAGTCCCACCGACGAAACAGACTCCAAAACATTCTATCCACCGTATAAAAATTTGATAAAACCTTAAATACGAACATGATTCTGTCGAGTATGAATCTTTGGCATGTAGTCGGTTTTTGTTGTGTGACTGGGACCATAAGATATTAATACGCACATACATACAACAACACAAAAGGTTGCAAGCCCTCATAATATTATCATCTAAAAAAAAAGGCAGCAGCTTCTATGTAGCCTTGTAGGGATGCGCTACCATTATCATTGAACGAGGGAGAGAGAGAGAGAGAGAGAGAGAGAGAGAGAGAGAGAGAGACGGGTGTTATGTTGCCATGACAACACATCTGTCTGCTTGTCGGAGGCAACTGGGACATAACGACGGCTAACTGGCTAATGCAAGTTGAATAATTATACCAACCACGACTACATAGATTTAAATACTCTGGCAAGTGAAATTTGTACATGGCCAAACATGGTTTCGACGCAAGTTATACCTATATGCATGTGTACATGACTAAAATTGGACAAAGGGACAAGCAAAATAGCGACTTATCATGTAAATCAGACCGAATTTGTTCTTATTGGGTTATATGCCGATAAGACAATGTTACCCCAAATCTATAAATGAATGCGCTTGGAAAAACAACAACATTGGTTTCTGAGGATGACAATACGTTTCCTATACTTGGTGTTTCTGAGGGCGAGGTTTCTAGACCAGAACTGAAACAACATCATTAATTGTCATTACAACATGCCACATGACAATGCGGAAGAAAACCATATGTGCAGTGTTATTGTGTGGAATAATGTTTACTCGATATATGCACAAACATGTTGGTAGATTGTCACATTGTAAATGGATAAACAAGGAAATAGATGCAATGATTTAGTTGTTTGTGTTCAAGAGTGTCAATGCATGAAGTCTTTTGTTGTGTAGTTGATTGGCTTCGAGATTCCGGACCAAACCGTCTGCGATATTGTGAAAGATTGGTTAATCTAAAAGTCATAAGATTTACACAGAAAAGGGAAATGGCCATCAATTGCCAAATGTTAAAAGAGTAAAATAGTAATTTAGATCACAGCCAGAGGGATGTAGTTGTTATTGTTTGCTCATTACTCCAAAACCAGAGAAAACAAATATTTGCATGCAGCTGGTAAAAATATGGTGTGTATAAACAAAACATAGTAATACGACACAGTGTTTTGGCGCTCTCAAAACTGCTCTGTACGTTGAAACTCTCGAGGGCAAAACCTGTGTATTACAATATGCTAGTATTTAAATCATTGGCTTGATAGATAAGATGTGTTGTCAAAATTCATCGTTAAGTGTCCCTTCCACTTAATCGTTACCCATCACCCATTCATAATTTATCATCAGATCATATCTACGTCAGTTATGATGGAATATGCAACCTTGATGTCTTGGTCGCCATCATTTCTGTACTCGGTTACGCCCTCGTTTCACTCTCACAAATTAGCAATTAAATTCAGGCGGCCAGCGCTGTGTCCACTGCCTGTTTTTCATTTGTGTTTATTCTACGAGTGATTTCTACATTCACATCACAACCGCCTTTTTGTCAGTAATGAATAAGGAAACGATGCTTTTGGTTGCCCATTACATCACGTTTGGAAAACTGAACAATTTGTGTTTGTTTTGTTTTCCATTTAAGTAAGATGAGAACTGGCAGGTCATCTGTAGAATGCTATGTAGCATACGTAAAAATAACCGAAAACTTTGCCTTGATTCAAGCTTTTCTTAACGCAAAGTGCGGTCATTTCATACCGAAATTCAAGAAATTAAGTCGATTATTAGGTATCGTTAAACTAATTAATATCAGCTCAACGTTGAATTCTGAGGTAACCATTTATGACTAATTGATTGCGACTGTTTTCTTCATGGGAACGGGTTGGAAACATCGGGTATTGAATATTCTTAATTGAAAAAAGGGGCGAAACCCCATTCCGATGCGAATAACACCGAATAGTGGCGTTGCTTGAAAGGGGTGTTACACCCCATTTCCCCCTCATTCAAAATTGGCTTTCTGCTAAATAATGAGCCTTGTCGTTTCTTGTTTTTTTTTTTACATTTACTTTTTAAAAAGAAAAAAAAATCAAAACGTATTGTCGGGAAATATCTGAGGACACTCTGACTGGATACCCCTTCCATTCACGATTAGCTTCCACGACATTTTCCTGACTAAGCCAACACCCCCCCCCCCCCCCAAGAAAAAAAGAGAGAGAGATGTTTATTTTGCTCAGAATGGTGGTTTGGACTGTTAGTATAAAATTGTCTTTATCGAGGATTGATTTAACGTGTAGTTAGGAAAATTATTTCAGTGATTTGCACGTTTGTATTGTGTACTGATAACGTCAAAAGATAAGTATCAGGTGCGCGATTCTGGAACTGATTATCAGTTTGTGTTTGAAGATTTTAATCATAAGAAAGATCCCAAGACCATCAGACATGGTCCATGCTTTACAATACACAGATAGGATGTGGTCTGGCTTCTTTAATCTATTCATGATCTTTATCATAATCAATTTTAGGTGTTAGAGAAGTGTTATAATATTATCTTTAATCTTTGATCGTCTCGCCCTGATTTTGTCTCTCGATTGAGCAGATTGCTTTCATAATGCAGTAGTGCAAATCTGTATGATTTTTTATCTTATCAGATTGTTGGTGTGTGAATGGCATTGTAGCTATATCGTGCGGTTTTAGATAATATGTGATAATCCTTATGCTTCCCATTGAAGATATAATTGTGATAATCCTTATCAAAAGCTTCCCATTGAAGATATAATTGTGATAAACCTGATAATAAACTTCGTATTCTTTCTCCCTATTCCTATCTTTCTATCTCTGTCTGTCCATCTTTCACACAACAGGTGTCTGATACGCCGCAGTCAACCCCCTTCCTGACTATCCTCCAGCATCTCCTCCGGATCGACCCGAAGGAAAGCCTTAGTGAGATAATCTGGGAGGTTTCCGAGAAACTTGTCCACAAGGCAGTTCTCCTGGAGAAGAAAGAATACGCCGACAAGCTCGTGAAACTCGGCGAGCGTGAGATTGCACGCTCGGTCGCCTCGCTACGAGGACGGGCCGACACCCTGGCAAGCACGCCCCGAGTGGAGAATGGGAGAGACATTCTAACCCCGCGAAGTGAGTTAGCGACTACCGCCCCTGGTAACGATAACGGAACAACCGGTAACGCCTCTCGAAAGATGGGCGTGGCAGAGGCATCTTGTGTGTCGGAATCGGTGCAGTCGCATACGGAATCGGACGGGATACTGTTCTCGAAGCCAAGCTCGACCATCATGCCACCGTCATCGTTATCAATCCCTTCCCCCATCGTCCCACCTCCCCCTCCACCTCCACCACCACCACCACCAGGGATGGGTGGGGGACCTCCACCACCTCCACCTCCACCTCCAGGACCGGGTGGTATCCCACCCCCACCACCTCCACCACCAGGACCAGGGGGTCCACCACCCCCTCCTGGACCACCAGGGATGCCTGGGGTAGCCTCTATGCCAGCGATGCCTTCTTCATCAGCAATACCCAATGTGAAACCCAAATCACGAATGAGGACGTTAAATTGGGTTAAGCTGCCTCCACGAAAAGTCATGCATGCCAACAACAGTATTTGGAGCAAAGTCAATAAGGTAAGAACTGCTAAAACTCTTCTGTTTCTGCTGGAGATATACCACCTCTCATACAAGAAGATTAATGTTTCAGATTCTATGCATTGACCGGCATGGTTTAGGCGGGTTAGTAACAAACTTATTATCAAAAGCCACTGAGAGTAGAAATCTTTCAAACGCAAAAGCTCTAATTTTGTGGCTTTCTGCAACATTCAATGCAAATCGGAGTTCACGAACTCTACCATATTAGAAATTGAAGGCGAGAAATTTCTTGTCAAAGCTAAAAACTCGTTCAAATCAAAAAAATATTACCAAAACTGCCATGTATATAAATTGGGGGTATATTTTACAAAAATTAATAACCAGAACTTTACCATTAAGCAAATCGAATCAATTTAGCTTTCAATAGAACGACAGTTGGTTACTCTTTATACGAATATGACCACAAAAATAACCACCCAACTATATCTATATGAATCATTACAAGTAATTTTGATGTAGCAACTCCTGAAATTAGACATATAGGTGCCCGAATGTCTCTTTCCCATTATCGTCATCTCAGTATAATTTGTCATCCTTATTCCAGTTACGGTCTTCTCCTTTTCCTCCCCCTTCGCCCTCTCTCTCTTAATCTCGCTCTCCCTTTCTCTTTCTATCTCTCTCTGTCTCTGTCTCGGTCTTTCCCTCTCTCCCCTACTTTCCCTCTCTCTGCCTAAAAGAGAAAAACTGGTAAGACACATCCGGATTATCTCAAATCTAGACGGAAAGAAAGGAAACAGAGCAGGAAATATTTATCTGTGGTTGTACTTTTTTTCCAATTTAATCAATCGATGCAATGTATGATGTATTGATTATCGATAGGAAAACACCAGGTGGTCAGAAAGTGTAATGGTCTTTTCTCCAACATTGGACAAAGAAGACTGTACTCGGGGCGGTGAATGATTAACATTCCGTTTCCGAATTATATTTTTTTTTTCACCAGATGTCGCCCTGACCGGAATTAGCACATTGAAATCTGATACAAATTTCTCTGAACACACTAAGCTTATTCATTTGAATTTGATTTGGCAAACTGAAGGTTTGAACGATTGAATAGTTTTAGTTTGTTTCTTTTTCTTCTTAGTATTCTGAGACAGTTATTATGTTCCGAAGATGAATAAACTTCGATAATAGGTATCTATACCCCAAGGGCACTACCTGAATTACTAACGAAAACAACGCCCACTGAAACCCCTATAGAGTGATACATCAATTTCATATAAGGAGAATTTTAAAGATTATCAATACTTTCTGCTCCCTGATGTGATGCTAAACATCTCAGTTAATCACGGCCCGAAAGACGGATTTTGTCGGCACCTGAAAACTCAAAAAATATGTCAGAAGGCCCACGAGATAGATAAGAAATCATTACAAATTATGAATGATCATGTGTGAAATTGTCTATCTATTGGTAATTATATTGCTTCTAGTTTTAAAGAAAGGTTTATTTTTAATCTACTCTTTACATCTCTATATATCTTTGCAAGACGTTAAAGAGTCTGACAAAATTTGTCACAACGAGATCCGTTTTCGGCGTCCACACTTCTCCATCTCACTGTGAAGGTGTTCTCAATCTCACCATTGCGTCCATTAACTTTCTGCGGTTTTTCTTTCATGACTAACAAACTATCTAGCAGCTGCATAGACAAATTCATGTCCATTCATCTTATTCTATTCACAAATGAATCCATTCATTACTTCAATCTTTGCGGCTCACCGCGATAGCGAAATCACAAACCTAACTGTCCAGTATTTTGTTGTTGGTGCTTTACCCATTTAAGAATACCCGGTGAAGTCCCACGTGCTTTAAGAAGTGTTGGTTCTGTTTGCCCTTGATTGTTGGGTTGAGTGCTCAAAGCGCAACCAGCGTCTTTACCGACCAGTGATATTTTCACAAATTTTCAATAGAAAAATAACTGTTTCTTTGTCGGGCATTCCGTTACGGATTTACGCGATTGCCGTGAAAATAAACACTACCTGCCCTCAAATTTTCCTAATCATATTTCAACACAAAATCACTCAATTAGAACAGAGATAAGCCCCAGAAAACTATCCAATTTCGCTCAAGCCTGGCATGTTTGCTATTTTAACAGCTGAATTATTGCAGGTATTATAAAGCATTCTTTTCTAATTCCAGGATATTTGACCGTTTCTTGTTCTTTTGTGGTTAACAGCTTTATACAGGAAACCCGTAGGCAATGATATTACATGTAGGAAACAGTCATTTAGGCGTTTATACTGATGTGGTTAAAACTATACAGTGCCACTGTTGCAGTGAATGATTTCGTATTAAATTGAGAAATGTACATTTTCTCAAAGTTTGATACTGCTTTTTTGAGGAGATGCAGTCTTTTTGTTGTTTGATAAAAGACGCTTGAAATGAAAGCATGAACACAGATAAGGTTCAATGCACTATCGAAGTACTTATGGGAAAATAAGGAAAAGGGGGAAGAGAAAGATAAAGAAAAAGAATGAAAGAGAGAGGGATAAAAAGAAAGGAAGAAAGAAAGAACAAAAACTTAGAGAGAAAACGTAGATGGAGAGGGGTAGGAGAAAACGATAAGAAGATGATAGAAACCCTCCCACACCGGCCCCTAGTGGACAGGCTTTAATGACATAAGACCGGTGCCCCAATGATGTTAGTGCCCTTCCATGACTTGGTCTCTTTCTAAAGATATAATATTGTTGTTTTGCGAGACCATTTTAGATTGTAGGGCCTCTGCCATTGATGTCTTCTTTTTAATTGGATAAATTAATGGAACGAAAATAGCATGCAGTTTAAGTTTTTCATGTGTAAGGATTACCAACGTATTAATCAAATACTTTTCCTTTATCTCCTTTCTTTTAGATTGAAAACGGGTTTAACACAGACTGGGATACGATAGAAGAACTGTTTTGTCAACCAAACTTGATGAAGCAGAAGAGGAAAGAAGGGAAAGAGAAAGAAATCCAGAAGAAGCGCGATTCACAAGAGGTTTGTAAAAAAAAAGACACCAAGATAATGTCTTAACTTCCGTGTAGAAAACAAAACGCATAATCAATCATCCTAATTTGTCTTTTCAAATGTTATGATTATTCGCATGATCTTTAAGAACAGGAAAAAACATGCTGAAAAATCCTCTTTAGATATTGGTGGTACTATGTCGAAATGCGTGTTTAACAGTAAACGTCATTTTACTCATGCATAGCCACTTCCGTTTTAGTTACAAAACTGGCACACAGGAATAGAACACATCGGCCCGTGTTGTTCAATTATCAATACCGAGTTTGACATATTTTGTTAAACGTGATCGTAGACGCTGGGTCGGGTTTAAATGAATTAATCGAATACGGACCATCGTTTCTAATTTGTAGTTGGTTGTTTTTCAAGTGATAACTATTTATTTCAAAGAAGTCAACCATGAAAGATGAAGCGAAATGTAATTCAGCAATTGAATGAAGAAGACGCTCCCACTCGTAATTCCCATCCAATTGGACATCCAGTTGGACATCCAACAGTCTGCAATTTCAGAAAATAGGGATTTAGGGTAAAATCACGCATGTAAGCAGAAAGTACGAGACGGACATCCTGCAAACGTGCAGCACCCATTTTAATGTTCATTCCCCTATTCTCTGCTCCCAGATCAATCTTCTGGACAGTCGCAGGAGCCTCAACATCAACATCTTCCTCAAGCAGTTCAGGACGAGCAATGACGTCATCATACGTCTGATTGCAGATGGTCACAGCAACGAGATCGGCGCCGAGAAACTCAAAAGTCTTCTCAAGATTCTGCCCGAGAATGACGAGGTAGTTAAATTTTTCAAGCCACAGTTTATTCAAGTATCAAATCATATTGATATGAATGTAGATATGAAGGTATTACTTATGATATAAATATAATATTCTGTTAATATCACATACAGAATGTTAATCTATGAAATTAAAAATCAGTGAAAGAAGTTGTTCGGATGTTGTTTGTCCCAGGGCAATAAAGTTGGATGTTCATGTAACCATTTTGTAGCATTATTTAACTCCCCATTATATTTGCATATCCCTATCTATAAGACGAATTTTAAGAATATCATTATCTCTTTAACAGTTTTCGACAGTGCCACTTAATCAGCGGATCCAAAAGCAAATGCTAGCTTGTACATTGAGTCAAATGTTATCGAGTCATATTTCAAATATACTAAAAGTTTCATTTTTAACTTCACACAGATTGAAATGCTGCGCTCATTCGATGGCGATGCCGCGAAGCTTGGCCAGGGTGAAAAGTTTCTCATCGCTCTCGTCGAAGTCTCTCAGTAAGTTTATTCTATCAGTTCAATGATAATCCAAATTAAATTCATTTGTCGTCTCTTTATAATAATTATTATTATATAATACTTATTCTGATTATTATAATAATAATTATAATTAGTATTACGAAAATATGTTGTAATGACTTTGTTCACCTTGCTTCCTTGATTATCAAAAGCCCGAAAGCATTTCGTGCTTCCTGCACATCCTCAACAAAAGTATAATTCTTGGAATTTTCTATAAATCCACATTATTTAACTACAGCAAAAGGATGTAGTTGTATTGCAAAGTCATAAATGTACCATTAAATAATTCGCAAATGACCGTTGTCGTATTGCACAGACATTGCATGATTGTACCAATCTTTAAAAGTACATTTACCTTGTTTTAGATCGATAACATGAATTGTGTTTAGGATTTTTAATCTATTCTCGCCGTTTTCCTTTCTTTATTTAGTTACAAGCTCCGAGTTGAGAGCATGCTCCTTCGAGAGGAATTCACCTCTAATATGGACTATCTTATGCCTTCCATTGAGTCCATCATTGAAGCTAGTAAAGGTATGTCATTCAGGTAGATCATAATCTAACATCTAAATGGCGCATTACACGACCCCCTGCTTACAGACCATTAAATCATGATAATTATAAAGAAAAGAATGTGACATAAATGTTCATATTTGCACCACAAAGCGTACAAGAACATAACACTTTAAATGAGAGAGAAAATCATTGAACCACAAGAGATGAAATATGCACCTTTATATATTATTAAAGGTATTACAAAGTTTTGGGAAATTTTGAAAATTGGGTGGATAGTGAATCTTTACAATTTTGATATATTTGGATGCCCCTGTGGATGTAATATAAGCACTAACAAAATCAGCCCCTAAAACACTTTTGTTTTCGAGAAAAATTGAATATAAAAATTTACCGGTGCTCCCGGTAAATTTTGATAAATTTCAAATAGCGCCTATGGCCGTACAATGGTAGCTGCGACCATGAAAATCTCAGAATATGTAGTTGTGATATATAATGTCAAAACGGGTATAGCTAATCGGTCGATTTTAGTCAAGAAACATTGTTTCATAGCTAAATTAATATCTTGACCTTGAGAGGGAGCTATACAGCATAAAGAGTTTATTATTTATAATTTCATAACTTTAGACTCGATTTCAACCGTGACAACGATCAATGAATATTGTAAGAACGCATATGCTTCCAATATGTTAATTTGAACCTAATTCATGCCCCAATACCAAAACTTTGTGATACCTTTAAGGGTGCAGGATGAAAGGATAAATTGAACCCTAAAAGGTAAAGTCTTGCGCTATAATTGGATGCAGATATTGTTAATAGGAGCTAATTTGAACGTGTTTTGTTCTGTATAAATGACAATGGTTATTTACGAATAAAAATTGGAGCTCTCCTTAATGGATTTCAACATTTTCTTGATATATTACAGTTCTTATACATTTTTATAGATCAAATTTGTTTAAATCCCACCGCTGCCACCAAAAATTAGAAATATTTTTTAAAAGAAAAAAAAAATGCGATTTTTATAGATCAATTTTTTTTAAATCCCACTGCTGCCACCAAAAATGTGACCTTTTTTTCTGAAAATATGCTCTTTATATTTCCTCCTGTCTTAGAACTCTTAAAGAGCACATCACTGAAGGACATACTTCACCTGGTCTTGTTAACCGGCAACTTCCTCAATGCTGTAAGTATTCATCAACAACCTACTCTCTGATAGAAATGTCAGACTTGGAAACATTACAGGAAATTATGGAAAAAGTTGCCCTTCCAAAGCCTTAGTTTTTCAATGGCATGAGATATTGATTTATATGAGAGCATTGGTAAGGGTGTTGTTTTTTCTGACAAGTTGAACTTGTCCTCCAAGAAAAAGTTTGCTAATTAAAGAGAGCAGCGAATTTGAAATTCTCGTGATCTCACCCTCCTGTTGGAGTGAAGCCTCTTTAAAAAAAAACTTATTACTCATGTTTTCCCTCGATGTGTTGCGTAATCAAATAGCTACTGTTTGTAATATAGATAGTAAATGACACCGTTTGGGTGAGAATGACAGGCGATATTGGACTTGATAATGGCAGGAACTGAAAACTGCGTGGCCCGGAAGTGATTGCAGAGCAATGTCCGTTTGATTAACATCAAAAGCTGTGAATCAAATTACTGCAACCCGTTACATGGAAGTTCAAACCTAAGAGATAAGATTGCCATTGTGAAACAGATGGCTTAGAGCTTTAGCTTTCATAAGCTGAAGTGCTTGCTAAACTGGTTTTAGTTTTGTTTTATACTGATAAAACATTATGTGAATGTTTCGTTTTCTATAAACACATTGGACCTGGTAGGAAGATCGAAATCACAATGCCATTTTAAAAGTGAAAACAAACTTGAACATATGATGAGAATTGTATGTTTAAAGATTGCATTTTGTTTTTGAAAGAAATTATTATCCACAGTTTGGTTTGAAATAATATACTTTTAAGCGAAAACTTTGAATTGAGTGTCGTTTTGGGTTTTTTTGTGGTAGTTGTTGTTGCCGTTGTTTATGCCTTTATTTTATATTATTTCCCTAGAATTAAAAAGTATCAAAATCAATAATTTATTGTAACAGGAACCTGCCCGACTCATCTTTTCCACTGAGTTTTAACTTTGCACAAGGATACCGATGGTCGAACAGGATCTTTTCTCCATGCTTGTTTTAAATGTTGACTTGTGAAAATAATTACTGGAAATTCGTCAACTCTATTTGAATGATATTTCGTGTAAATTGATCAATGGTTTTACGTCTTGATTTGATTCCTGAATACATTTCTTAAAATTTATTTCTTAAATTCGATTTTCATGTTTGTCCTTGCAGGGAGGATACGCTGGCAATGCCGTGGGATTCAAGATGTCTTCCCTACTCAAGCTGGTAGAAACACGCTCCAACAAACCGCGGATGAATCTTCTCCACTACGTGGCTCAGGTATAAAATCAACTCCACCGTGTTAGAGAATATATATTCATACATTCAATTTCGGAAGAAATATAGTACCTTCTCTGGGATGGTGTATAGAATCAATGGATTATATTATGTGCATAATTTGAACTTAATGCGATTTGGTTAATTCCAATGGAATCGAATCTCAATATTTTACAAAGACAGTAACATTTGAATGAACCTTTAATGAATCTTAAAATGACTAGAACGACGCTAACATAGCAGAAAATGTAAAGTTTCGTACATATTAAGTTGCTAGACGGCCAGTAGTCCCGTACTGCCAGTTTTTGAGAGGGTCTTACAAGGTTTTTAAACCAACCCTTCTCCATGTTTGTCTCTTATAGTTGGCAGAGGAGAAGAACCCAGAGTTGGTTAAATTCCCCGATGAATTGACACATCTAGAAGACGCATCAAGGTGAGTTACACTTGGTTACTGGTGAAGAGTCTTATTTTTCACCTAAAAATTAGACTCTTTTACACATTCTCAATACGACATTCTTTTGATTCGACTTAATGTATTGATGCTGGAGTCTAAATAGTCCTGATTTGTATCATTCAGCATGGACTTAACACACTTTAGATCCTCAACAAACAAAAATAAATGAAAAGGTTCAGACATTATATCCCCATTTATTTCGAGCCGAAATCTGTGTTTCACCTGGTAAATGCTATTAATAAAATTGTCTATACTCAAACTGTTTTAACACTCTTCAGCTAATTTTGTTGTTATAACATGTTTCTGCAAAGTGAGTAAAGTTCTTCTGCTTCTTGTAAGACAGAACATGATAAATCTGATATTCACATTGTTCTTTTTTTTATATTTATCATTTTATCATCCATTTTTTAATTACAGATTCTCGATAGATCAGCTGATTGCAGATGTCAAGAGTCTTAAAGAGAAGGTTGCCAATATAGATGAACAAGTCCAAACTGTCACAGATTCATACAAGGAACACATGCAACAATTTCTTAAGGTTAGTAAGACCCGCCGATGCGAAATGGTATAGCTTGATACCTCCAACAAGATTTTAAAAAATTTTGTTGTCAACTGTGTAATGCCGGAAAATCACCATTTTGATGTACGAATCATACTTCTGCATGATACATACTAAGTTTATAAACTCATATATAAATCACAAATAGATTTCCGCTGAGTTGTCTCGGACGTAAAGTGGTATTGAGCCTATAACTTTAAAAAGAATAGAAGATTTATATTTCATATCGCCAAATGTTTTATGGAGAAAGGCAGAAAGATGAGGTAGGTTGTGAAACTATACATTTCAGGGTATAAACGAGGCAAAATTCGTAAACGAAATGCTTTTTTGCTTTTATGTCTTTCTAGGGTGCAATGGAAGAATTAGAGGATATCAACTCAATGTTGGAATGCGTGGAGGAACAGAAGGGTAAGCTAGCCGAGTACTTCTGCGAGGATGTGAGTACCTTCAAACTGGAGGAATGTCTCCTGACATTCAAGGTATTCTGTGAGAAGTTCAAGAAAGCAATAACGGTAAGTGTAATCATTTGACGTTGACTAATAATAATGAATAATAATCACTATTTGAATGTAACATTCGAAAGGTTAATCCACCATGTGCTCCAACAGCGTTTTTACCGTTGGCTATATATTTTGGTACATATTTAGTTAAGGTTAAGTTTTGATTAAGTATTAGGTCGGATGTAAGGTTAGGTGTAGAATTGGATCAAGTGTTTGAGTTTGGAATTATAAATTGACCGCAAAGCAATGGTCTCCGGAGAATCTTGTCAAGTCATGGAGAAAAAAAAGACTCATCAGATTTGTCATTGAAGCAACTGCGTATGTACTGTAAAGTGATTTTTTTTTCTTAAATGTCGAATTAAAGAAGTAAACATAGCAAAATGGATTTATAACGAAATGTCATTCCATTCTTTTCTCTGACTGCAGGAGAACGAAGCAAGAGTTGTCCAGGAGAAACGAGCAAAGCAACGCCAGAAGCAAAATGAAGAAAAGAAGGCAGCAACCCTAAAGCGTAAGGAGAGCATAAAGAAGACTCCCACGCGGTCCATGAGTGCTCCAGCAGGCAAAGAATCAAACTCTATCGTTGACCGCCTCCTTGGAAACATCCGTGATGGTTTCACGGGAAAAAATCAAGGCATGGACACTGATGGAACGACTACTGATAGTGACTATGGCAGCAGGCCGACCTCACCAGCACCCAATGCAGATACAAAGGCTTCCACCGAGGATGTTTCGCCTGCTTCCTTTACGCGAACATCCGTGGCACGACGGTCATTCCAGAAGACGCCGAACCTGAACGCGATTTCGGAGAACTCGTCCCAAACACGTGATGACACTGATAGTGGTTCAAAACGGTTATCTTACGAATCTAAGAGCGATGATCCTCTACTGAACTTGCTCATGTCTGGCAACGATGATGAAACATTGTCACAAATATCTTTCAAACGTGAAGGCAGTGTAAGACGCAGCGGTCGTAAGCGACGAACATCTCAGTATAGTGTAACTGGAAACCGCGAGCGAGCTGAGTCGCCAGCTGCTTATGTTTCTGAACAAGAACCTGTAACAAAACCACACAAATCAGAGCCAGAGAATACCGGAGATTCAAAACCAGAAACATCAGAGGAATACAAAGTACAGAAGAGTCCACAAAAGCGTAGTTACCGTTCCAAGACTTCCCTAGATAGTCCAGAGACTTTGCTTGCAGTGAACAGTCTTGCAAGGCGAGATAAGCTCAAAGACTTCATCAACGAGGACAATAGCGTTACGAGCCCTACCGAACCTAGAGACCAAACTATATACCGTAATGTAAAATCGCATAATGAAGTGACCCGCCCAGTATCATTTGGAAGCGATGATGGCAGCATTAATTCGGAGGTCGCCGATGCTCTTTCCGATAGAGCAGAGACCACACAAGTGTGTGATCACATTCACCGTGAAAGGATAGCAATGTATGCTAATAACACTAGTCTGAATTCTTCAGAGTCCGATAAAAGGCTTTCAGGTGATTCAGGAACATTTCAACCTATCTCAGATGACTCGACAGACAGTAAGCGCAACTCGCGAGCCGATTCGGAAACGAACGAATCAAATGATGACCAACTCAATCTAGGGACAATGGCAAATAAGATTGAAGCAATGACTCTCAATCTAGACAGTTTAGAAAAGCATAAAACCACCGAGTCAGAAAATCGCGAAAAAACAGTCGAATCCAAAGAAGTTGATGTAACGATTAACGATAGCAAGCCTGAAGGAAACCGGTTATCTAACTGGAATAATAATGTCCAAAGTATGAACATTGAAGCAGCTGTAAGCGCCGTAGAATCTTCGGTTTATGATCGCAGTCCAAGTAAAGAGGACAGCACCAGTTCTAAGAATGAACCAGAGCGAAGAGAAAGTGCCTATCGCGCTCGTCTCCGCCAATGGAAGGCCATGCGAAGTGAAAGCGTAAATCAAGAGCCAAAGGGAAATCCCGAACAACTCACAGAAGAACGGGTAGGGTCGAAATCCTACGAGGATGTAAAACCAAGCGAGACCTTCATGGACACACCTCTTACGCCGCATCTCGCCATGGTTGCCATGGAAACTGAGAGCGTGGAGGAGAGATACTTGGATAAGATCAACCGTGACCGTTCCTTGCTGGAGAGTATCCTGACGGGCCAGTCGACGCCTGAGACGATTCCCAAGGAGTTATCACCGGCCCCAGCAGATGATACCCCGCCGGTTCTACAACGACCAGTAGGACTCAAAGCTTTGAAGGTAAACATTTCAATATTGATGACAATTTAATTTTCAAAGTTATCTCATTTTGCGTAGCATTTACAGGAATCTCAAATCACATCGTCTTGGTTCCCCTAAATGTGAAAATCAGATACAGAAAATATAATATGTATGAAGAATTATGATGGGATGGTCTAAGCGATGTATAATTGTCTTTAGTACGTTTTTGTAATATGTACATTTAATTTTTCAAATTTAAAGATGATATTTAGGTTTACGAAGCTTTGTATATTAATTGTACTCGTGATACGCATTATTATCCAAGGGAAATACATTCAGTTGCCTACTTTCAGTGACCTATCAACGAACTGCTCATTGATTTTGTTTGAAACGGAGATTGAAAATTCAAACTAATATCTATTTTTTTTTGTTATCTTTTTTTGTATCTTTAACTTGCAGCTGAAACGATTGTCTTCTGAAGTCATGAATGGTTCTGATGATGAAGACCCCTGGTCCACTATTGACCGACAACAGATTGAGATCCGCCGTAACATCTTCGATATCAAGGTCGAGCAGCATCGACGAAGTCAGTCTGACATTTCCACCCCGAACAGTCCCGTCAAGGAGTACAAAGAGTTCCTATCAACGTCACAATCGGACGTATTCAACAATGATGATCTTTTTGTGGAGGATTTAGAAACAGTGCAAGACATCAACCAGAACGTTACAAAGTCTCCAGATATGTCTGAGGACAAAGCTCCGGCTTCGGAGGATGATGTAGAGAGGGGTAAGACCGTCATCCCGATAACTGGTACAGACATCTATGCTTTAAACAACATTGGATCCTCAATTGTAGAAAATGGATCAGCAAGTGGAGAAAATGGATCGGAGTCAACGGTTCCAGAGATCACTAGCCCTGCAAAAGAAGTGCCTCAGGTTGAATCTTCAGGAGTGAAGAAGGATTTAAAGGAAAACGTGAGCAAGACTGTTACTAAAGCCACTACTAGCTCGAACAAGAAGGTTACGAGCAGCAAGACAAGTCCTGTTGAGAGAAAAGCGGTGAATAGTGTCAATGGAAAGACGACGGGATTGAAGAAAAACTTAACGAGCCCTTCCAACAGGACACCAATTGCTAATTCCAGTGCAGGAAAATCATCCCCATTATCGCGTAATGGATCAATACGATCGTCTGGCACGGCCAAAAACTTGTCGCCATTACCAAGAAGTACTATATCATCACGTAGTCCAACGTCGACTTCCCGCAGTGGTACTCCTACGACGACGAAGAGGAGCCCGATGTCAGTCTCGCCGAGGTTACCTGTCGGGTCAAAAATCAACGGTATTGGTAACGGTGGAGGTAGCAGAGCAAGTAGTTATGATTCCCTGCACTCGTTTTCTTCTGAGCGATGTGACTCTGCCGCTAGTGGCGCTTCCTCTGTCTCGAGCGTAAGCCAGTCAAAGAAACCAGTCAACAGTTCCAGGACGGCTTCGACAGTAACTCGCGGTGCGGCTGGAACAGCGAAAGCACCACTGGCAAGATCAACGTCAAATTCAACGTCAACTTCATCAACGGGAACAAGGTCGAATGGATCCCCACGCACACTTCCGAGTGGTTCAACGCGGCGCAATGCAACAACAAAACCTGCTGCTGCTGGTTCTGCAAAAACAGGAAAGACTTTTGTCCGTGGAACGCCTGAACGGACTACCATTGCTGGTAGTGCGTTAAGGTCTTCCAAACCAAGTTTAAGTGCTGCATCTTCGGTCAGAAGCTCACTTCGAGGAACTTCTGCTACCGAGAAAATGTCTGCAACTTCCACCACCAAGTCTTCTTCTTCATCATTATCTTCCTCGCCACGAAGTGTATCGAAGGACACAGCCACCACGAATAGTAGTTTCAGCAGAGCAGGCTCGGTCAGAAGACCAAATGGGTCGAACAAGGCAGGAACGAAGAAACCATACATCTCCTCTCATGCGACATTATCTGCAAGGAAGAGTGCATCTGAGTCTTCTGCTAGTACGAAACAGACATCCTCTCCAAGGACAATTAGCTCAGTTCGCAAAAGCGAATCTCCTATATCCAGGAAAAAAGCACCAAGCTCCGTGAGCACCAAATCAGGTGCGTCACAAAGTACAACTCGTAGGGCTATTAGCACTCCCGAGCCTGCGGAAGTCCTGGAAGTAGATCCAGAGGCACAGAATTCCATTCCAGAAAGTGCAGTAGAGGCACTTCAAGCCAGGTTGTCTTCGAATAACGATGTGAAAAGTGATGATACTGCGAATGAGGACAAAGAGGCATCAGTAAAACTCAAACGTGAAGATGCAGTTGAAAAGTTTCAAAGTCAATTTGAGGACTTTCGGACGCTACCTCGAAGTTCCTCAGACCCTGACATGCTCCGGAACGCTGAATCAACACCAGACGTGACACTGCGCGACAAGTCTTCAAGCTCCACCTTTCGGCGCAACGGTCCCCAACGCTACTCACTGCCACCAACCTCCAAAAACATTACACCATCACCTACGGGTAAAAAGGGTGGAAAACCCGGCAAATTCAGTCGGATGATGAACCGACTTAGCCTCAGTGGGTCTAAGAAGAGCGACAAACTCGATTCCCGTATTCTGGAAACCGCAGGAGAAAATGCCGCCGATGACTACGTCTTTGCTGCTTCGTCTTCCACGCCGAAGAATAAGAAACTGTCAAGCGGCAACCCCTCAAAAGACAGATTTTCGCGGAACAAATCGGCGAGTTTACGCGTAAGCTCGAAAACTTCAAAAACTTCAAAAACGGCCACGTCTGTGGCAGCAGGTACCAAGGACTCAGACACCAGCAAAAGGCGTCTTTGGCGATCATCATCCGTCAAAAGTAAAGACAAATCTTCTGTCGCTAAATCTTCAAGGAGGTGAAATAACTCTATACCGTTGGAGAGAACCTTAACGTTGATGTAAACTATTTCTTACATTAAAGAAGGAAAAAAGACTACAATACTTGCCAATAATAGAAAATTAATAAACATGTATCAGTTATCAAATTGCGTAATTATTTGTCAAATGCGTGGAGTTTGCAATTTCATATCGGAGATTGTGTAAATACAAAGAGGTCTATATAGACAATGCGTGTCTTTTCGTGGTACATGTATTGAAATGTTGACTAAGATATCGAAAGAAGAAAACGACAATTTCTCAGGGAAAATGATCAATCTGCATGAGACAAAATAATATGAGTGTCAGATCCGATTTGTTTTAAATTTTTGAAGCCATTTTACTTTCTGAATGGTCTCATTCATTTCATGATTAAAAGGAACGCTTTTGCAAACTTCATTTTTCTCAAATCTATATTTACAGACAGCATTGTATAGATAGACATAAATTTAGAAACACAGGGCAAGTTTATTATACGTTGTTTTATTTTCAGCATATCACAAGTTTGGAACAAACCTTTCATTTGGCAAAATAATATTTACATGTACCGTCAGCATTAATTGCGCATTGTCTGGTGTAAGTAAATAAAATAAAATGTCAATTATTTCTGTCGCTTCTTGAATTAAACTCGTATATTTAGATTTTGTTATTACAAATGTTTGTTCCTTTTCCCTATCGATGGCTACTCATCAAAACGTCGCCAATCCTCTGGTAAGATCCCATCATAAACAGACTCAATTGTAGAACACTGGTATATAACATGGAAATGGACTATGAGACTGCTGAAACTGCTGAATCTTTCACGAGCTGAAAGTGTCTGCGCGGTTTCGACGTTCATACAATAGTCTGCTTGGAGATATGACTAACTGTTTACAGGCACGCGCAAGGTGATGCTATAGTAAAATGGATCATTTAAAGTCGTTTGATGATATAATAAGTTCTATTCAACGGGAAATATTCTTTGCATGTGTTTTACTTCTGAATCCTTCTTCGGGAAGGTGTCTGAGCAGTAAATATCTGATGAGGGAATCCCAATTGTATAGTGTGGTACCTAAAATTGTTAGGTATATGAAATGTTACCTGAGGAATGGAATATTTACCTTAAGGAAAGAAGCATTGAAATGATATTAATCAGTATAGCCTGTAATTCAATCTTATTAAAACCGTAATATATATCTGTTCCTGTATCTACTTTGTTCCCATGCCTTGTATACTCTTCAATATCTTGTAAATTAAAAACGGATTGAGACGAAAAATATTTTGGTAAGCTATTAACCCTTTTACAAATTGAAAAAGAATATTTTTTAAATACTTGATAACGTGCGATGTATCAAAAGTGCCTTGTAAATTGTGTAAATGCCTTTATTGTTTTATGATGCGATATTTATGGAGCAAGACATACAATAACACGCAATAAATATCGTTTATATTTCTATTTGGCTAGGTGATTGGATGGTATTGGATCAATAAAACTAATCGAACTAGAATAGGAAAATAGAATAGGCTGCCACTACCCTGGCAGCATCATTGGACACGCGTTTCAACCAAGTTGACGCAATTTCGGTAGTTTTTTTTAGCCATTTTAATTCCTCATTTGTGTATTGTTGTTTACATATCCTTTGACTATATAGATGTACAGTTTCTGGCAATTTATTTTTTCCTTATTAACGTATTATTATTCGGCTGATGTAAATATTGCAAAATCTGAATATTTTGTTCTCAGTTTTCCTCAGTTTTCAGTTGCGCATAATTATGATGGTTTCATGCTTAAGTTACATGTAAGTACAAAACCGATGAAAGCAGTTGATATCATTTCCATGATGATAATGTTATGATAATCATGATCGCAATTGTTATATAATGCTTCCATTTGTGTGGACGGGGTTGTGATTGCCCATAGACTATTGTATGAGATCGATTACTAGTAGTGTATTCTTAACTTCCACAACCACAAGCGCTATGATGATACAATTATTCTCGATTTTTATTGGAAAGCCTTTAGTTTTGAAAAGTTTTCTCAAGAATTCAGTCTAATGTGTTTAGAAAATCAAATCATTCAATGTATTCAGTATATATATATCATAGAATATTTTGAGTTGACTTAAAACAGTACTTACTCTATCCTACTAAGAATTCTTAAAAGGAGACTTCATTGCATGTTAACAGTGGAGTTTTCTCAAAAATATGTAATGAATAACGTACCCTTTGCATTTGCATGCGACTATATAATTATGTTCTTATGTCATTTTTTAAATTGGACTTAAAAAGCTATCTTTTGATACGAATAAAATAATCTAAATTATTTTGTTATGACATGAAAGGTAAATGAAATGTATTCTGACATAAGTGGAATGTACAACTGGTGTTTGAAATAGCAAACTATTTGTTTTTTACGAGCATAAACAGACAAAATTGTAGGTGTCCGAGGAAAATCTCGCATGGCAGGGATGGCATTGACTTAGATGATGGCATTTTTGTCTTCAACTCAAACCAGTTTGTTTTGGTATTTTATTCAATTATCGATTTATTTACGTTCTCTTTTCATTTGTAAATAGGAAGAAAATAACTCCATTTTTTGTAATTGTAATTAAAAGACATTTATTTAGTATTTATATATGCTATATCCATGATTTAACCGCTTTTTATTGACACAATAAAAAAAAGACTACTACACGTACCCCTCTGCGCTTATACAAATAATTTTTTACTTTGGTTTATGTGTTGATGTCCGTTACGTTCTTCCAGAAATAATTCTCATTGCTGGGTATTAATTTGCGGAAATTAATTAATTAATTATTAATTAATTAATTTGCGGCAAATGAAAACAATTCGGAAAATAAAGTGAGATGGAATCATTCAAAGTGAATGGAGCGATGAAATGAAGTGAGTGCTAAACTTCAAAATATCGGAGTGAAAACTTGATCATAATTTGAGAGTTTCGAAAAATCAAAGGCGACACAAATTCTTTGTGCGTCACCTATTGAGATGTACGACCATGACAATACACTTTCATTATCAATTTTTGTTTGTAGGCAATACATTATAGGGTAGAGAAATTGCCCTTCAGTTAAAGGCACTCTGTCCTACTTGTAGCTACTTGCTCCCTCTATATAGAAAACTTCCCCAATCGGTGCCTGTTGGTCCCCCATGATCCTCTTTTTCTTATGTTAAATGAGAGCTGAGTTAATGAGATAGCCACCTGTCACAGTGACCTCGCTTGCTCACTGGGTGGTCTAATCCCTTCTAGCTGAAGTAGTAAAGCCAGCCTTTAATTGCATGCAAGTCTTTGCATTTGTGTTGGAATAAGAGATGAAATGCATGATGGAGCAGTGAACTTAGAAAGTGAATGGGATTGAATAAAGGAGAGAAATTAAAAAGATGATGTAGTAAGAGCGCCGTGGTATATTGGTGACGAACAGGGGCGGCCGAGCGACTTTCAAAGTGGGGGGGGGGGCACCAACAAAAAAGGGCACTTTCTGGAAAAAAGGGCACCTACAGTAGGAAATCTCAAAGCGAAAATATACAATTTTTAGACATTGGTATATACCCCTACATTGTGATTACATTATCAGGGATGATTTCAATATTTGTTTCTCTTCATACATCATACAAGATATCGCTTAAGCATCAAACTTTACAGTTGGGTGTGATGTCTGAATATGCATTTACGAGCGAGCGAGAAAATTTTTAAAGATCTGTGAGGTCGCAGTGCGAAAAATTACATCTTATAAAGAGGAAAAAAGCCAATCGTGATGGGGTTATAAGCACATTCTTATAACGGAAGACTGAAAAGACCTTTGATAAGTAACATAATTATATAATCTTTAAATGCAAGCGAGCGCAACGAGCGAACTTTGGGGGAAACTGCTCTTAGTCGCTTTAAATAAGGGGCACGTTTAATGATTACATGAAAAGGGGACAATTATCGAAAGGGATAAGACACTTATTAGAAAAGAAAAGGAGCACGTGTATAAGTACAAAGGATAATTATAAGAGGTGAAAATGAGGCATTTTTTCACTTGAAAAGAGGCACTCACCAGTGATGAAAAGGAGGCGTTTACGAAAATGGGAAATATGCATTTGTTGACGGAAAAGGGGCACCCATCAGATTTTAATAGGGTCATTTATAAGAGGTGAAAAGGGGATAGGTCCCTTATTAGAAAGGAGAAGGGGCACGTATCATTATTAAAAGGGGAATTATCAGAGTTGCAAAGGGGCACTGACCAGATATGAAAAGGGGCACTTATGAAAATGTAAAAGGGGCACTTATAATATAGGAAAATGTGCATTTCTTGAATGAAAAGGGGGCACCGTTCAGATGTTTAAAAGGGGGCAGTTATGAGAAGGGGAAGGGGAAGTTATGAGAAGGGGAAGGAGCTCTCTCTTTTTAATGGGGGCACTTATCATAAGGAAAAGGGGCACTTATTAGAAAAATAAGAGGGGCACATGTTAAAATGAAAGGTGCGCTCATCCGAGTTTAAAAAAGGGGTAGTTATCAAAAGGAGAAGGGGCACTTCTTACAAAGGAAAAAAGGGGAAGTTGTCAAAGTAAAAAGAGCACCTCTCAGTTTTGAATAGGGCAATCATCAGAGGTGAAGGGGGCACTTATTAAAAGTGAAAAGGGGCACTTCTCGTACCTGAAAAGAGGCACTTACTAGAGATTAAAAAGGGCACTTATTCAAGATAATTTCAAGATTCATGAGAATGGAAAATGAACATTTATTGCAAAGGAAAATGGGAACATGTCGAAGGAAAAGGGGCACGTGTCAAAAATAAAAAGGGCACTCGTCAGAGGTGAAAAGGGGAAAGGGGCACTTTTACTAAGTAATAGGGGCACTTGTCAAAGTAAAAGGGGCACCTTTCCTATGTAAAAGGGGCACTTCTTACAAAATAAAAGGGGCACTTTTCCTATGTAAAAAGGGGCATTTTGGGGGTATCTGAAAAAGTGGGGGGGGGGGCACTGTGCCCCCCTGCCCCCCGGGAGGGCCGCCTCTGGTGACGAAGGCTCTTGATTCTCATACGAGAGGTTTTGATTTCGATTCTTCTCGTTGCTGACATCCAATTATTATTTTTTTCAACAAAAAAATATTGACGTAGATGGAGCTATTTTATTGCAATGCCAGAGCCATTGCTCATAAATGGCTCTGTGCTATGCACAATATGATAGACCATTTGGACATTGGTCATTGGTCAAGTTTTAACGTTTAAGGCATATCTTTGAATGTTTAAATATATTTTTCTAAAAAAGGGGCCTTACAAACATCACATATTTCTAATACGATTTGATCTTACATTTTCGGAAAGTGGTATCAAGTAGTTATAACAATTAAGAAGTTACAGAGTACATCAAATCCAGAGAGGGGGAAATGAGGGAGAGACAAAAAACTAGTATAGTAATACAGGCGGAAGCAGAAAGAGAAGTGAGGAGAAGGAGGAGGAGGAAAAGATGAAGACAAAGAAGAGAGAGAGAGAGAGTTAGGTATAGAAAAGAAATAGTCCTGCTGGAGAGGGAGAGAAACATGAAGAGAATGATACGGAGAGAGAGAAAGTTGAATACAAAGATAAACAAATTAGGGGGAGAAAGAAATTCAGAATGTAAAATGGTATAAAAAAAAAAATAATAATACATGTATACTAATCAATTTGGAAACTGAGACCAGAGATTGAATTTGATTGAGAAGGAAGAACAGGGAAATTCATAGCTAGCATCCGGGGGCTAGCGTGCGTGCAACCAGTGGCGTAATGAGCAAAAACGTTTGGGGGGCTGACAAAAAAAAATCCGCATCACCCCACTCTAACATGCAGGCCCCGCTGAACGTTTTTCAAAGTGGGGTCTAGGGGCAAAGCCTCATCAGGGGGTCAGGGGCGTAGCCCCCGAGGCTCAATGGGTATGGGCATCAGTGGTGGATCCAGGAGTTTCTTACGGGGGTGGCATGGGGTGAAATATATGTAAAACCTGATGAAGCGACAGAGCGAGACTTTAGCGGCGAGGGAAACGAAGCGGGGGTGGGTAGGAAGCATTTGCAATTTTAGAACCCAGACTCACATTAGACGCCTTTTCAGGCACTTCCTGGAGTAATATGACATAAAATTGCTTTCTCCTACCCCCTCCAAGAGTAGGAATATTTTGCAATTTGAAAACCACATTTTGCGCAATAATGTCCACCGGCACTTCCTGGAAGTGAGACGTTGCCGCACAATGCACAAAGACGGTGGTCCGGTACTTCACCAGTTATATCGAGTGTATAAACTGTGTTGTTATGAGGGGCGTTACTAGATCTTTTTCAGTGGGGGAGGGGGGAGAGGCCAACGATTACCTTCAAAACGAGCCGCCAATTACCGACAAATATATTAATGCCAATGTCCCAATGTCTACAAATTTAACCCTGTAAACCCGGGGCCAGGAACTAAGTTATTTTTCAGTTTTCCCCCTCCCGCGCGCGGAAGCTTTGATACTTCATTAAATTATTAGAGAAAGAATACGATCCGTTGTACCGTTCTAGACTTTTTATTCTTGTTTCGCCCCTCCCGCGCGAAGCGCGGAAGCTATGACGTTTCATTTATTTATTAGAGAAAGAAGACGATTCATTGTACCGTTCTCGACTCTTAATCCTTGCCTGAATTCATTTTCGCCCATCCCGCGCTTAGCGCGGAAGCTTTTACGTTTCATTAAATTATTAGAGAAAGAGGTCGTTTCGTTGTACTGTTTTCGACTTACAATCCTTGTCCGAATTCAGTTTCCTCCCTCCCGCGCGAAGCGCGGAAGCTTTCGGCGTTTCATTAAATTATAAGAGAATGAAGACGATTTGTTGTACTGATTTCTACTCTTAATCCTTGCTTTCACATTTCATTAAATTATTTGGAAAAAAAGACGATGCGTTTCCTTAAATTTTTACTCTTAATCCTTGTCTGAATAGAGTTTCCCCCTCCCGCGCGTAGCGCGGAAGCTTTGAAGTATCATTAAATTATTAGGGAAAGAAGACGATTCGAAGTACTGTTTTCGACACTTAATCCTTGCCTGAATTCAGTTTTCGCCCTCCCGCGCCAAGCGCGAGAGCTTTGAAGTTTAATTGAATTATTAGAGAAAGAAGACGATTCATTGTACTGATTTCTACTCACTTTGTCTGAATTCAGTTTCCCTCCCTCCCGCGCGATGCGCGGAAGCTTTGACGTTTCATTAAATTATCAGAGAAATTGTCTGAATTAATTTTTTCTTTTCTTTGTCCGATAAAAAGTCACAGTTCGTGGGAAGAAAAAAAATTGCCGGCCAACCGACATTAAATATTTCACCGACTTCAAACTTCTAAATTGATATAGTACACGAGCTAGATAGAGCAAGTCCCCCGACACAGCGGACCCGACACAGCAACAGTTATCTATGCGTATCTTTCTTGCTCCTTCGACGTGGCGACTCCACCCAACATTCCCTTTGCTCTCTTACTCCCACCCCTCTTCTCCTAGGCTCTTAATACCACCCCCTCTCTCTCTCTCCTCTCTTTCGTTTGTTTTGTTTTGTTTTGATTGTTTTCTTATGTTTCTTTTTTCTCCTTTTTTTCTTTCTTCTTTTTTTCCCTTTCTTTTCTTTCTTTTCCTTTCTTTCCTCTCCTTCCTCTTTTTTTTCCTCCTTGTTTCTTCTCTTCTCTTTCTTTACTTGGTCATGGTTCAATTTTTTTTTTTTTGGGGGGGGGGGGGGGCTAGCCCCCCCCCCCCCCCCCCCCCCCCCCCCCCCCCCCCCCCCCACCAGTACGCCAGTGCGTGCAACTGTTGTGACCAGTAGCTGCATGCTAGTAGATCTATGTACTCTAGAGGCTTACTATTGAGGATCATATTAGCGTAGTCTGTGCTTGCAGACTACGCTAATATGATAATTTTACACTATACCACAATGCCTAGAGCCTTGAGCAGAGCCTAGATCTGCCAGTTTCTGGCTGTGGAGTAGACAGTACAGAGCTTATTTTAATCTCATTTTGCACACAATGTAGTTACGAACAAGGACTGGCAAAGATTTGGGCCTGCAAACAAGTTTTAGCCCCCACTGCACTGCATGCAATCTAGACTAGACTGTTTGCTTGAGATGGCCCATCCCACGTCGACAGCATAAACATTGCATCATTCGCGTGTATACAAGCAGTGATTTTCTGGGTAGCTAGCTAGCTAGTAGCCTTTTGACAAGGCCTCGTTGACTCTGGCTAAGCGGCTGAGATGAGTCTAGATACCCGGAGTGAACGCGCGACCGAATGACGAATGTCATGACAGGTCAATTTCGATGGACAGGTACCTGGACAATTTGCACTGGCGTTCATTCAGGTTTTCGCGATTAGTCTCTTTTTAGTCGCTCGGCGTCTATCAGGCATGTGGCCTTGTTTAAAGGCTAGCTAGCTAGCTGTGCGCGCGCGCGTCACTTGAGCTGTGCATGTAAGCTGAGCCGATACCTGGGCCCCGTCTTACAAAGAGTTGATATCAATCGTAAGTTATTTGCGATTGATATCAATCGTAACTATGTACATAAGAGATAGGAGACTGCAAACTTGCGATTGATTGGAGGACTTACGATTGATTTGGATCGATCGTAACTCTTTGTAAGACGGGGCCCTGATCACGCATCCGACACGAGTAGATCCTAGTATATATTTCTATATCAGAAATATCTCTCATAAGATCGCATCCGAGACGTCTTGTCTGAGAGTCCTAGGTTAGTGCCAAATTCATTGAGGTCGAACGTTAGACTCTGAGCTGTCGACTGTCGAGTGAGTATTTTAATAAGAAGTAAATTATAAATATTATTAATATTTATGGAACTGGAACAGCTACAGGTAACTCCGGGAAGCTCCAACTGCGGCGCTCTAGCTCTAATAACTTACTAGAGCCATGGCATTGACCATACATACTGAAAATCTAGATGATGACATTGACAAAACTTGAATGGGATGAAATACTTTGGCCTTGCTCACTAGTACTATAGCTATAGTATGGTCTACTCTAGACAGAAATAACCATCTGATTTGGGTCATTTCTTCAATAAAACTGACATTTGTTGACATTCCCCAATACAGATGGTAACCCAGAGATCTCGTACCATGGGGGTAGCTAGAGCCAACAATGTAGACTAGTCTACATCTTTTCGTTCAAAACATTTTCTCCCCGATTTTCTTTATTTAGATCTAATTTTCTGATTTCTAAATCAGATGTAAATTAGGTCGGTATGCCATTTGTCCTAATTGCACTTATCAAAATTTGATAACTTAATATTAAATGTATAATTTACGGACTTAGATCTAGACTAGTCTACTTAGACTAGGGTCTAGACTGTGAATTATCCAATTTGGGTTTGGGGGTTAACCCCCCCCCCCCTTGATTCTTTTTTTTATGTGTAGATGTTTTTTGGGAAAGTCCCCCCCCTCCCTTTTGTCTATTTTTTATTTATTTATTTATTTATTTTTTTTAGACTCTAATTAAAAATAAAAATTAAATTAAAGTTATGCCAATGGCTGACCTAAAAAAGGTGACCTTACCCCCCCCCCCCCCCAACGGAACAAAATGTCAAATTTTCAAATTTCGAGACCAAAAAAAAAGTGTCCTCTTATCTTACCTTAGTGATTCTTTACCATTTTGATATATTTGGATGCCCCTGTGTATGTATTATAAGCACTAGAAAAATTAGCCCCTAAAACACTTCTGCTTTCGAGAAAAATTGAATATAAAAATTTACTGGTGCTCCCGGTAAATTTTGATAAATTACAAATAGCCTACGGCCGTACAATGTTAGCTGCGACCATGAAAATCTCAGAATATGTAGTTGTGATATATAATTTCCTAACGGGAATAGCGTATCGGTCGATTTAGTCAAGAAACATTGTTTTATAGCTTAATTAATATCTTGACCTTGAGAGGGAGCAACATGAAGAGTTTATTATTTACAATTTCAAAACTTTAGACTCGTTTTCAACCGCGACAACGATCACTTAATATTGTAGGATCGCATTTGCTTCCAATATGTTCATTTGAACCAAATTGATGACCCCATACCAAAACTTTGTATTTTAAGGGGTAAAATTTTCCCATTTTTGATAATGTATTGGCAGTTTGTCCTTTAATTTTGCTTTTTCACGTTTAACTTTTTCGAGTTCTCTTCAGCCTTACATATTTCTTTACTAGTTGGAAACTTTCCATTTTTACGATTACTGTAAATCATATATTTGACCAAAATCAATACATGATTTAACAATATATGATCTTTCATATTTTTTCTGAAATCAAGCAACACATCAATCCAAATGAAACATCTTTAAATTGTTTCCCACCTCATTCCATATTCTGGACCCTTCAGAACATTTAAAGAAGATATGACGATAGGTTTCTACTTCTTTTCTACAAAAGGAACATAAATTTGACTGTGTTAATCCATACTGTAATTAACAGTGTTAAATTATACTGTAATTAACAGTGTATAACATTGCCTGGCATAGCGCCAGGTGGAGGGGTATAAATCTTTTTTTTTTGTGTGTGTGTGTTTGTGTACCGTGTATAAGTCGCACCCCCGAGTTTGAATTTTTTTCAAAATGTAAGCTGCAGCAAGGAAAATCACTACAGTGTTGCCAATTTTGTGATTGGTCGATTTCAAGTATAAACATACATGTATTATTCCTTATTTCATGTACTTATGTGTATCTCTCATTTTCTGTTTTTCAACTTGTTGGTTTTGTTTTTAAACCAGTTTAATGTGAGTGTGGACTCCACTTCAACTTACATGTATGTTCCTTGTTCATAGACATATAGTGCTTGTTGTTTCGTTGTTGTTTCAAGATCTTCGTTTTTTGCCAATTGAATTATATACAACAAAATTATCTTCATATCCTACAGATTATCAAGATGAGTCTGAGTAAAGTACTTGAGGAAATCAAGGAGAAGGGGATCACTGCAGTCAGATTTGAGCAGACCGACTTACATGGCATAGCCCGGTCGAAGCTGATACCTGCCCGTCACTTCAAGGAAAAAGCAACGGGAGGGGTGAACTGTTACTTGGGTCATCTCGGTATGAGTCTCCAAGCGGATGTGATCCCAGGGACTGGGTATGCTGAGGAAGTCGGATTTGCTGATGCCGTCCTGTTCCCGGATTACAGTACATTCACGGTGCTTCCTTGGGCTGAGAACACGGCTCGTATTCTGATTGAACCAACTTATAAAGGGGAATACGTATCTGCTCACCCAAGGGTCTTGGCACGCAAGCAGCTGGAGAAGCTCAAGAACCTAGGTTATTCCCTGTATTCTGCTCACGAACACGAGTTCTACGTTGTGGATAAGGAGACCAAGAAACCTATCAACAATGATGTCAATATTCGATCCACTTTGAGGATGTTTCCGATCCGGAACTTTGTCAAGCAGGTTATGGAGGATATGCCCATTGTCGGTGTTGATATAGAAGCAGTTGAATCTGAATATGGCCCTGGACAGGTGGAGATATCCTACAAACCAGCTTTCGGGATCAGGGCTGCAGACAATGCTTTCACTTTCAAGACTAGTATCAAAGAGATTGCACTTCTCCAAGGGTTTCAAGCGTCTTTCATGTCAAAGCCGTTCCCCAACCAGAGTGGATCCTGTACCCACTTTTGCCATTCCCTGTACGATGCAGATGAGAAAACCCCTGTGTTTTACGATCCCAACAGTCCCATTGGTCTGTCGGAGGTTTGTCAGAACTGGGCTGCAGGAATACTTGCACATGCCCCTGCGATTGAAGTCCTCATGGCTCCCACAGTAAACTGTCTGAAGCGAGTTGGAGGAGCATTCTCTCCGATGAACGCCACTTGGGGTATGGACAACCGCTCCGCCTTGCTTCGTGTCAAGGTCAACGGAGACAAGGGCACCTACTTAGAGAACCGTGGGGGAGCCGCTGGTGCTAACTGCTACCTGGTGTTGGCTGCAACAGTTGCAGCAGGAATGGATGGTATCATCAACAAGTACAAGCTTCCTGCAGAGGTTACAGGGATAGCTTCTAATCCTGAAGACATCCCGCCCAAGACGCCCAATCTGCCTAACACCATGGAGACCGCGTTGGAGGCTCTTATTAATGATGAGGTAATTAGGGATGCCTTTGGAGAGGATTTCATCAAGTGCTTCAGTGCTGTGAAGATGCATGAAGTGAAGCTAGCAAGAGAGGCCCAGGCTAAAGGCCAAGATGATTGGGACTTTGATTTCTACTTTGAGTATCTGTGAAAATGATTTACTGGTAATTATCTTTGTTGTGGGAGCCGAAGTAACAAAAATATTGGGGTACAAATGAGAATGGATTAAGTGTTTAAATTCATATTTGGTGGCATGAAACTATTGTGAATCCCAACCATTCACAATAATTGTGAAGTTTCATTTATTTTCTGTTTGAACCAGAAGGGTTTTAACTCTGTGTATACTGTAATGATATGAGTTAATGCCCTTCTGGGTATAAACAGACAATATGATATATGGATATATGTCTCATAAGACAAGCTGATATATATATATATATATTGAGTTGAATAGGTGGTGGCAAAATTGCTTATTTCGATACTACATGTAGGTATAATCCTTGTATTCAAAATCATGTAAACGTAACACCATAGCGCTAGCAGGGTATATTGTATAAACAAAATATCCTTATCAATATAATTGTTATTTTAAGAAATGTAGATGTTTATTTTATTACATATGAACTGAATGACTGAATACTGAATTTTTAAGGTAATAGTTTTCACTCGGGTTAATTTAAAGGCTGAATATAGGAATGAATAGATCAGAATATATCAACAGGAATATGCATACTAATATGCATTTATTATTTCAATAATACACCATTACACTTCTTATACAAGTGATGTAATGTAATTTTTAAAAAGTATCAAAGTTAACAAATGATAGTGGAATTAAGAAATTATATGAAATCAATTGATCTGTAATAGGTTGACAAGAAATAATCATATTTGACTTTGATGAAGGTCATCATTGGTATCCTATAAATAGTAATGTTATCAGCTGACACCAACCAAATCATTTCTGTATACTTTGGCATTAAGTGCATGTACGTGTACTTACACATATATATTTCACAGGAAAGTGGAAACAAAATCCAGAAATCTATTTCTTTAATACTTCTGTTTTCTTAATCACAAAAAACATGTAATAATACTTTTGGATGTGATGTAAAACAAAACAATGAGAAATTGAAACCAAAGTCAAATACAGTTAAATGTGAAATATATTTTTGTCAAACCAATCTTTATACATGTATATTCATTTATTGCATATTATGAACTTAAAGTGGTGGGCATCATTTGAAATTTGGGTCATCATTGATTTCCTATTATTGACAGCTGGGCCCAAATGATAATACTTAGTAGGCAACAGCTGCATTTTGCACTGAAAAGAAAAATGATATAATAAAACGGGATTGCATTATGATTGATCTATCATAATATAATGCAATCCCTTTTTATCAGAAAATTAAAATTACACTTGTGGGTCATCTAGAATGATTGATGGTAAGCAGCGTAGACTGACATAATCTCCATTAGTTGCTTGACAATAAATGTGATTTAAGCTACGGTCACAAAGGTCCTACGAACTATGTGTTTGTACGAATCTCCCTGTTTTTCCATTGTCTTCCCGAATTTCCATTGTCTGAAAATCGTTTGTACGGCGTTCGTAGCAGTTCGTAATGGCATTTGTGACCGAGGCTTTAATCCTCAACTCTTTAATAGAGATTCCAGTGTATTTTACCTTGATATTTGTAAATGTTTTGAGATTAGATATCAGGGATTATTGTCATTAGTTTTCACCAAAGGCTGATGTGTAATTCCATACTCTCATGAAAAATTAGAATCATGTATAACTTGATTTGATAACAGATATTGTTTATTCCATCTCTTATTAGAAACTGAGTAAGGAAGAATATGTTATTCATGAACTTATATTCCACATTTACCTGTTTACCCTAATGTGTTTGTCAAATTGATGTATGTTTGGTACACTTTCAGTTTTAGCATTGCATATAATCTCAACATTCTGAATTATTCATTACATTTCCATTTTTCTTATCGATTACATATTTATAAGAATATGGTCAGGTGGATGAAAGTTTCTCATTCAGGGAATTCGACTACACTGTATGGTTGTGGTATACAAGTATAAGTTTGATTGTCTTCAGTCAGCATGTATATTTTCAGATTTGTTATAGTCTGTTGAGAGCCAGAAGTAAATTTCCAAATAGGATGTCAATTCACAACGCTCTGGTATGGTATGGTATATTTTATTTATTCAAGGTTAAAAACTAATACAATAAATTGTGCCCGCATTCAGCAAATGCTGTTTTTCAGCGAGGCCTAAGTTTTAGCATTGCATATAATCTCAACATTCTGAATTATTCATTACATTTCCATTTTTCTTATCGATTACATATTTATACGAATATGGTCAGGTGGATGAAAGTTTCTCATTCAGGGAATTCGACTACACTGTATGGTTGTGGTATACAAGTATAAGTTTGATTGTCTTCAGTCAGCATGTATATTTTCAGATTTGTTATAGTCTGTTGAGAGCCAGAAGTAAATTTCCAAATAGGATGTCAATTCACAACGCTCTGTTATGGTATGGTATATTATATTTTATTTATTCAAGGTTAAAGACTATTACAATAAATTGTGCCCGCATTCAGCAAATGCTGTTTTTCAGCGAGGCCATGCTCTCAACAGACACTTTGTATTAGAAGTGGTATGTCGAAATCCAAAGAAAATCTGCGTTACAAATTATAGTTATGAGTACCTCTTTGTGAGTAACTCTGGCATAACAAGATACCGATGGCATAACAAGGCAACTTTTGCTGGTCCTTTTTTTACCTCATGTATCTTATCTTGTTACATCAGGATATAAACGAAGGACCAGCAAAAGTTTTCATTTTCATGGGCCCAATATCATTGTTATGTAACTAGTTTTTAGTGTACACTTCTTTCAGTGAATCGAAGTATAAATCTTTAAGTTTTTTTTTCTTCATTTGTTTATTTTTGAATGTGATAAAAATGTTATGATTTCTTTATGACTGGTTTCTAGAAGGTTTGTGTAATATTTAAGTTACATTTGAAATAAAAAAAAGGTTTGTGTCATATTAAGTTACATTTGAAATGGGTACATGTAAAAGTGATATTATAGAGTTTGGACTTCATGTATTTGACAATCTTCAAATTCGATGTTTGATGTAGAATTGTAGCTGATCATGATAGTGAATTTTCTTTAAAATCATTTTTTTTTTAATGGTATCAGAAAATAAAGGCCAATATAATTGTTAATACACAGCATTCAACTATACTGATTTGTTCTTTTGTATTATCAGTAATGTACTTAAGTATTTACGATCAGATAGAGCAAAGCGAGCAAAGCAAGTGGAGCATCAATTGGCGTGGGGTCCAGGGGCAAAGCCCCAGCAAAGTCAAGGGCGGAGCCCCAGGAAGCTCAGGGGTTTTAGGCCTTTAATTACGGTCAGATGAGCATTCAGGGTTTTAGGCATATAATAACGGTCAGATGAGCATACTTTGATACCTTATTTGTGACACTGGCAAGTCACTAATTTGAGTGAGGTCTAGGGGGCGGCATTCCCAGAAGCTCGGGGGTTTTAGGCATTAAATTACGATGAGACTGATGAGCGTCTAGGGACCCCCTCGGGCCCTTTATGGAATCTCAGGGATTTTAGGCATTTAATTACGGTCAGATGAGTAACCAGGGGCCGCCTTAGGGCCATTGGTGGGGTCCAGGGGGTATAGCCCCCGGGAGCTCGGGGAAAAATAATGCCACTTTAGCAACATTTGTAAATCACTAAATATCAAATTAGAAATAAACCATGTTTGAATTTTATTAGGGGTGGGGGGGGGGGGGTTACTGCGCTCCCATCAATACGCCGGTGAAAGGAGCTCAAGTGACTACCCCAATAGAGCTATATGATAACTCTTATTATATAGGGTAGGTGTGGGGAACTGGAGACCACCAAGTTTGAACAGATCACTGTCTGTCCGTGTTGGCTTCGATATTGCTAAAGAGCCTTTCCAATTCATTTCGAAGACTAAAATGCGTTCTTTCTCCGAGACAATTGGCAAAATTGACCAAGGTAAGCAATTTTGATCGTAAAATTTTGCTCTGATATAAAAATACAATTTTCACTGAATGTTGTGGTGTATGCAGATATTTAGAGGTGGCTCTTAACAAGTAGTCCAAAGTCCAAAGGGTTGTAAATATTTATTAGGTCAATTTAGTAAGTAGGCAGGAAGGGACTTCTTAAAAGAGCAGGCGGGATATTCATTTTTGTAGCACTGATCTATTTCTATAACTCTTTATCTTGTAAACATACAGTGTAAACTGTGCTTACGTGATACCAATGGAATACAGATTTTCTACAATATTTATTTGTATGATTTGAAGGATATTACGCGAGGCAGCGTAGCGACCGAGCGAGAAGATTTGTGCATTTGTATTGGTCTAAACGCTGCACTTTTGGGCCCTCCAGAGCCTAAAAGTGTGTTGCAGTCTTTAGTTAGTATTTGCTATACATTTTTTGGTGTGCACTCTTTCAAATTTTCCGGAGGGGGGGGGGGGGGGGGGAGACGATCCCCCTTAAGCAAAATTGAGGGAGGACGTGATAATTAACCAAATATATTAATTAGTAGGCTGTTTATAGGCGGTTCCCGGCAAAATTTGTATCATCACGTATTAGTCAAAACATATTCTTTCACATGATTTGTAAGAACAGCTTCCATTTCATTTCATTTCATTTCATTTCATTAATGGTGTATGTCTTTGAACTGTATACACAGTTTGGTGACCAACCTGGGGGGGGGGGGGGGGAGGTTGGACATTATCTGCATTTTAAGTGAGGAAAGACAAGAAAAGAACAACCAGCACACCACGGTATCAAAAGGCGATTAAACTTTCCAAACTTCATAACTTGTAGGCCCGGATTAAAGTTTCAATTGCACGACGCACGTCTATGACGTAAGGAATAATGCATATTCAGATATCCACTAAACTTGGTGCCAATATAATGCTACCCAAGTGGTGTAAATTTATTTTTTGTAGAAACATATTGTGTAATTTAACGTTGGAAATTTGGAATTGAATTGGGGCGTTGAACGAAGAATACACGTTAAGCTGACCAAAAGTGCGAAGCAGTTTTTACTCTCCGTAGGATCATAAACGTAAAAAAAAAAGAATCAAAATCAGTCCCAGAAAAGACGGTGAGACAACAACAAGTCCAATTTAAGACCAATCTAAGACGTATTCATAGTGAAAGACGGTGGCCTCAAGTTATGTAAGTTGTTGTTCTTGTTCTTTATCGCTGTTTCATTTACTTTTTGTTGCCTTTAACTTGTTTCAAAATACATCTGAATTGTTACTCTACATCCAGGGGCGGCGAATTTTTTTTTTAATGACCGGGGGGGGGGGGGCGAAATGTGACGGACCAGTGGCGTAATGAGCAAACACGTTGGGGGGGGGGGGGAAGAAAACAGTCCGCATCACCACAACTCTTATATGTTACATGCATGCATCGCAGAACGTTTTTCAAAGGCGCGTACTTTTGCTTGGGGTCCAGGGTCAAAGCCCCAGCGGGGGTCAAGGGGTGGACCCCCCGGAAGCTCAGGGGTTTTAGGCATTAAATTACGGTCAGATAATTACATACGTTTTCAAAAAAGTGAGGGGCCGGGGGGGGGGGGGGGGGGGCTCCAGCCCCCCGATCCGCGGGCCTTGATATGCAGGCTTCTAAATAAGCATACTGTTTGCCTGACTGTAAATTTAGGAATTTTCCATTAACGCATACAAAAGTATAATTTACCAAAAAGTGAGAAAAACGTTTGAATTTTATTTGGGGGGGGGGGGGGAATCTGCCCCCAAGCCCCCATCAGTGCGCCAGTGCGATGGACGAGGGAGCATGGGGAATGAGAGGGGCGAAGGTGAGGCTGACTACCCCCTCACGCGTTTTTGAGGTTTTGTTGTATTAAAAAAATTACCTTTCTTAGCAAAACTATAGTACAAAACCTAGAAATATATCTTTTTTCACTCATCACTTTTTATTTTGCTGGTAATTAGTGCCGTCCGAAGGGTTGTAAACATCAGTTTAGTAGGAAAATTTTAGTATCACCAGGGAGCTTGGGCATGGATGGGATTTCTATTTCCCACTCTAGGCCTCTGTCATATACGTGTATATTGATCCTTTGATATCGCTATGGGAGTTGAAATGGCAAATAGGCAGCCTGGCAAATATAAACACTATGTTGTAGTTACTCCTTACTGCAAAGAGCAAGCGAAATATTCATTTTTGTAGCACTGATCTGTTTCTATAACTCTTAATCTTGTAAACATACAATGTAAACTGTGCTTACGTGATACCAATGGAATACAGATTTTCTACCATATGTACTTTTATTATAGTGTTTTTGAAGGGTATTATGCGAGGGATGCGAGGGTAAGAGGTCACTTTTTTTTTTTTTTTGGTCTCAAAATTTGAAAATTTGACATTTTGCTCCGTTGGGGGGTGGGGGGTTAGGTCAGCTTTTGTAGGTCAACCATGGGAATTTTTTTATTATTATTATTATTATTTTTTTTTTTAATAAAAATTAAAAATTAAAAAAAAAACGAACAAAAGGGGGGGGGGTTTTAGAGAAATTTAGGGGGGGTTTACATACAAAAAATTACCAAAGGGGGGGGGGTTTAACCCCCCAAACACCCCCCCCCCCCTGTGTACGCGCCTGACTGGTTCCTGTCTTCACCATCGTCTACTTTACTAATAATTCTGCTATAGAGAAGAAAACCACACAATTATTAAGCCTACGATGCTCATTTTAAAACAAAATAATAATAAACTTAGTAAATAAAAAAAAATGACAAACGAACAAGAAAACATTTCCAAACAGGCCTAAATATTCCATGGGCCAATGAACAGTTTGAGCTTTTGAGATAACATATTTCTATTATTTGATGCGATTTTACAATGAAACAGTCACTAAGTCAGTTAAAGAATGATCTGCAACAACAATTGCGAAAGTCATGCGATATTTTTTGTCATTTGAATAGCTTTAACTTCTTCTTCTTCTTCCTCCTCATTTATTCTGTTTTACCTGCTTCTTTTTCTTATGTATTGTAAATGGTGCACCCCATCTACGGTAGGATGAACTCTATTTTTTTTAACGAGTTCGTCAATGCATTTTACGTGTGTGTGAATTGACTGCATGTATTCTATGGACGCTCCTCCTCCGTAGTTCATCCACACATATGGAAAAATTCAGGTTAAATTCACCGCTTTCGGGAAATGCCATGTCGACTTCACCGCCTTTCAGGACTACATAGTACCTAGATAAGTGGAAAAATGTTGTGATTTTGAAAATCCAAGAGAGATAATATCGGGTAATAGGCCGTGGAAAAATCGGATTCATCGGCTACGTACGGCGTCAGCTCAGCCCCCATCAATGCATTTGTCGACATTGTGCTGGAGTGATAGTAAACAGCAAGTGCAACTTGTCAGGTGTACGATTGAATTGAGTGTAGTGGAACGAATACAGCGCCAGTGCAGTGACTAGAAATTTTATTGAGAAGATCAGGAGAGAGTAAATTTAATAGGAGTAGGCAGAGCTGGAAGAGATTTATCTTTTTTCGGAGATCATCAGATTTAATTCTTCACAATCTTTCAGAGAGCAACTTCTGTGGCTGGACTCCTGGAGGCACTTTAATTAATTCATCATCAAAATCTCTCTGACCAGCTGACTGAATCTACTGACCTGTGCTGAAGTAAAATCTTAGCCAACCCGGCCGCTGACTGAAAATTTATTTTCAATGAAACTATAGATTATTGTGAACTAAATTCAAACTCAAAATCAAGTTGTATAACTCGAGATACAAAAATGGATTGTAAGTGTGGCTGTAGACGTAGTGTAATCTCAATTTTGTGTCGTGCTTGTTTGAATTTACAATTTCAAATTGATAGTGCTAGACAGTGTACAGGTTCATGATGTAAATTGCCTTTGGTCATTGCAAAATTTATATTCAGGTTCTTAAAAGATTCCAAGCTATGATCTTTCACACTCGGAAGTGTTCATTATTTAATTATGTGAATGTTTGTAAAGATAAAATAAAGTAGAGACTCCATGATATTGAAGCTCGGAAGACATATATGATGTGCCATGTGCCATAATATGACTTTATGTATCTTATAATTTTCCTGATCTAGTGAGTGAATTCTCAAGCCCACAAAACAATTTTGACCTTTCAGCATTCATGACATTACTGTGAACTTGGATATAACAGGTGGCAAAGAGGC